TGAGGCAGCTCAAGCCCAGGGTTCGTGGGGTGGTGTCCCTTCGGAGCCGCACATCCCCCCGGCTGCCCTGCCCCAGGCACTGTCAGGTCCTGCTGTTTGGGTTTCTCCACCCGCGCTGCTTTTGCTGTTACACTAATTGTTCTTATCAATTATTCATCGATGCAGTAATGAGGCAGGGGCTGTGCAGTGAGCCCTGGACTCTCCCTGGCCCCACAGAGCCACCGTGGCTCAGGAGGGCGAGGAGCAGAGCTGCTCGGGATGCTCCTCGGGAGCACTTTCAAAATTACTCCCCTGAAGATTTTCTCAAGTTTTGGTAGTTCCGCTTTGTGTTTCTGGCTTTGTTTTCTGCCCCTCAGCCCCGTGCCGTGTATTAGATGCTGTTTCCTGTAGCCATGACCTTCCCTGGTTCTCAGTGGTCACTTTTCAAATCCTGAGGTGCTCACCATCACCGGCTGGGGAGCGTTTCACAGTTAGAAGTTTCTGATCTGATGGATCCGGGCACAGTTTGTCCCATGCTAAGACCTGGAATTGTAATATTGTAATTGTGATATTTTCCTTCCTACTTTGGAAAGGTTGATGTTTCCCTGGGGGATGTAGGTGCTGTTTCCCTGCAATTCATCTGCCATGGGGAGGGAGGGATGCTCCCTCCAGCACAGGGAACCCACTGCCAGCAGCAAAGCTTCTGCATTTCTCCCAAAATACCCCTGGAGAGGGAGTTGGTCTCGTTCCCATGGAGTTTAATGCTTTTGGGGGCAGGTGAGGCAGCTTTGAGCAAGGGTAGATTGAAGAGCGTTGAAGAGGGGCTGGAGAGGTTCTTGCATGGGACACACAGGGGATGAGGCTGCCATGGTCTGGGGACAGCCCATGAGATCAGCTCTTCCAGGATATCCTGGGAGATCCATTCACCCTCCACAGGGTGAGAGTGCAGTTGGAGCCCCATGTCCTTTGCTCTCCTGCTCACATCCATGTCCAACATCACCTGCAGGGACTTCTCTGCTTTTCCCAATCCCTGGTTTTGGCTGAGGAGGTACCTGGGTGCAGGGCAGCTCTCTGAGATGTGTTTCACCTCCTCATCCTCTGCATTACCACAAGAGAAAGAGAAAACCTGCACATTCCCATCAGGAGCCAGGAAAGGCTGAATTCAACACCCCTCTGTCCAGGCATTGCTTGAGCCACCGTGGCTCTGTGACTGTGAAGAGCACAGGCTTTGAAATTAGAAGCTGAGAGCCTCAAAAAAAAAAAAAAAAAAAAATCCCTGACCTCCCCCAAGCTGGGGATTTAAGGGAATGCCACATGTCATGGTCCTTGTGGCAGTGTGAGAGCTGGCAGCTGGGCTGTCTCCATGGCTGGTGTTTTCCCAGCTGGAAATCCCAGCTGTGGGACCACCAGGAAGGCCACAGTATTTAAAAAAATGCTGGAGAAGTTGAGGCTATGCTGATAAACCCACATCTGGTGGTTGAAATTTGCTCTGCTGGAGAACTAAAACCTCCTAGTTGTGAGCAGCTCAAAAAACCCCTGCTTGAATTGCAGACCAAGGAGCAGAGGGTTTGCAGTACTTCTCACCTGGCTTGGTTTCAAGAAAACGTGAAAAAAACTTGAAAAAACTTGAATTTTTGTGTTAGTGAGTGACTCTTGAAGGCAAAGGGAGCCCAGGAAGTGGGTTATAGGTGCAGGATTTCAGGATGCTGGAGCAGGCAGGGCACTGTTGGCTTTTCAAGGGGTGGGTCGAGGCTTGTTCAGTGGGGGGATCAGTATTAGGGACTCTATTGCTGTTGCTCTGGTCTCAGACTTATCGTCCTCTTTCCCTAAGATCACCCCAGAGAGCTATCCTGGGGCCTGCAGGCAGCTCTTTCTTCTGCTTTCTCTTCCCCTTCCCGGGACATTCTGCCTTGGCCACTCAGAAACTGAAACAGTGAAGTGTGAGACCCTCCAGGGAGGATGTAAAGCCCCTGGGCCTGCCCAGCTCCAGAGAGGGAAACCCAGAGGCTGCCAACGGGAAGACCAACATGTTGGGTGCAGGGAGACCCAGATCCCTGAGAGCAGGGAAAGCTGCACACTGAGGGCAGGGGCGCCCAGGTGTTGAGAGCAGCGAGCCCAAGGCACTGAGAATGGAGAAACCCAGATGCTGGCTGCTGGCTCCTGAGCTCCTGCTGCCGCTGCAGGGACAGCATGAGGTGTTTTGGATGGTGAGGTGGAAGGACAGCACCTCCCTGCTCAGACAGCACCAGCACAGCCTCCTCCTGCTGCCTCCTCCAGCAGCCCCTCAGCCACAACGATGGTGAGAACCAACCCCTTCCAGTGCTGGAAAAGCTGCTCAAAGGCTCTGGGGAGACCTTGGAGCCCCTTCCAGGACCTAAAGGGGCTCCAGGAGAGCTGGAGAGGGACTGGGGACAAGAGCCTGGAGGGACAGGACAAGGGGGAATGGCTTCCCAATGCCAGAGTGCAGGGTTAGATGGGATATTGGGAAGGAATTGTTCCTTGTGAGGGTGGGGAGGCCCTGGCACAGGTTGCCCAGAGCAGCTGTGGCTGCCCCATCCCTGGAAGTGTCCAAGGCCAGGTTGGACAGGAATTGGAGTAACCTGGGCTAGTGGGAGGTGTCCCTGCCCATCCAGGGGGTGGAACTGGATGACCTTAAATTTTCCTTCCAACCCAAACCAGTCAGTGCTCCTATGAAACCTGGTCACAGTCCTGTCCTCAGTGTCCCAAATCAGCTTTGGGCAGCAAGGTGGCCCTTGGCTTTGTGCTGATGAAGTCCCTGGTGCCTCCAGCCTGGCCCAGGTTGGTTGGCTGGCTGGGATGGCATCACTGGTGCTTCCTCCCCTGTCTCTGCCCCACACTGGGTGATGCTGAGCAGAGCTCAGCCATGGCCCTCCCAGTGCAGACAGGATTTCACAGCCCTCTCAGAGATGGAACCAGCCCTCTCTCGGTGGTGAGGCTCCTGCTCATCCCCTCCATGGCAGAGAAGAGCAGCAGAGTCTCTGATTGAATTAGTGCAGGGATTTAATTTAATCCCCAAATGTCTCTCATTTCAAAGGAGCTGTTCATTTCCTTCTAGGCCCTTATCTGATGTGGGCACCCAGCAATACAAAGCAGAAGGACTGGACAGATAGGCAGCTGTTGGAGGGGGAGAATTTTGTGGGGAGGGTCTTGAGGGCTGTGTGGGTTTTTCCTCTAATTATTTCATGAAATAATGATGACAGTGATTGCAAACAAATAAAACATAAACAGCATCATTGTAGCACATGCTGGTGCAAATAGCATCCTTGCCTGACAAGTCTGGAAACATTCCCTTTTCACAGGGAATTACTGTGGGGGCAGTGAACCAGCCCCAAGGTCAGTGCAGCATCTGCTCTGTGCCTCCCACCAAACCCAGCTTTTCATGGATGGGTGGGTGTCATATATGGGCCAAGGACATGATGGTCTCTGAGTTTGTCTTCAGACTCACTGGGGGAGTTCAGGTGATGCTGAATCTCTGCCTGGGAGGAGTCAGGCTGGAGGGGGACAGCTGTCTGTGCTACAGGTGTCACTGTGGGGACACTGTGGGTGTGACAAAAAGGGACAAGGCACAGGTGGACATGTGGGAGCTCCTCTGTGTGCTGTGGCACTGAACTCCAGCACCTTTCTGGGAACCTGGCTGGCTCTATGACCCCTGAGCCCATGCAGGTGCCTGTGGGTGCTGCCGGGTGCCCGTGGTCTCTGTGCTGTCCCCTGTGTGCAGAGTGGGGCTCACACACCTCCAGGGTGTTCCCTGGGGGTGGCACAGCCCAACAGCAGCCCAGCACCTGCACACAGCTGCCTGGGGACAGCCAGAGATGGGTTATCATCCCCACACCCCGTTCTGCCCCAGGGGATGGCTCTCAGGGCTCTGCTGTCACAAGGTGGGACCTTCAACAGGGACACAACCTCTGCCTCCTCTTCCCAATGGGAGGTGAGGCTGGATGGGTTGATTCCTGGGGCTGCTGCTCTTTTTGAAGCTGAAGTCAATTTATGCAGAGGGTGAGGCTTTGCTAACTCCAGTTTTCTGGTTGCCATCAGGCTGGTGAAAAGGCTTGGATCCCAGCTGGGGATACAGGGACTTCTTTTCTGGGTGAATTGTTACTTGGGCGTGTTCCTGTGGAACAGCCCCTGCCCCATCCCTACAGGATCTGTGTGGATGAGAATTGCTTCCCAAAGGCAGGATTTCTCTCTCCTTTGGTCTTTTTTTTCCTTGCTGAGCTGTTTTTGCCCCTTCAGCTTAGATGGAAAAGTCCCCCAGGACCCCGCTCTGGCAGGGGAGGGCTCATTGCAGGCTCCCCATGCTCACAAAAAAAAAATTCTTGGAGGTTTTTCCCTTCAGCTACTCCTGGTTTTTCCCTTTGAAAGGGCAGGGCTCACTCAGGCCTTTCACAGCAGCAGAGAAAAGCTGGAAAAAACATCCTTAAGGTTTTCAAGCTGACAGGAGTGGCTGTGGTTTTTGCAGGGGAGCCCCCACAGCCGTGGCTGGGCTGAGCTTGGGCAATCCAGAGGTGGGCAGAGTCCAGCCCTTCCCTTCAGCATTTAATGACATGGTGCAGGAGGGGCTGGAGCTTCTGGACAGAGCTCCTGGATTTCTCTGCCACCCTTGGGGAAGATCCCTGCAGGGCTGAGCCCTTCCAGCAGCTCCCAGGAGACGAGGAGCCGTCAGGGTGAGGATGATGTGGCTGGAGCTGAGCTTGGCTGCACTGTTGGGCTCCAAACCCACCAGTGCTGCTGGCTGCTGCAGGGGGGAGCTGGGTGGCCCCATCCCACTCCTGCCAGGTGGGGGAACTCAGTGCTCCAGGGATCAGGAGCAGCTGAGGCCAGAGTAACCTGGGGACATGGGAGCATTGCCATCCCACCCTGCCGGAGCACTGTTGGGGTTGTACAAACTGGTGCCAGCCTCAGAGCTGGGGTGTCAGGAGCAGAAAGGCTGCCCAGGCAGGTGGCCAGAGAGATTTGGGGTGCTGCTGCCTTCACCCTTTCCTGTCTTCTCCTCTGGGCAGATGCTGGAGACAGACACGGAGAAGCCAGGGCAGATGCACTCGGAGGACGGGAAGGCAACAGTGGGTGATGCTCCTCCGGCTGCTGAGGCACCGGCTCTGGCCAAGCCCTGGGATGTCCTGGGAGCCACCCAGGGTCCTCTCCTGGTGGAAAAGCAGCCAGTGGCCACTGCAAAGGGAGAGGAGCAGCCCAGCTCCCTGCCAGCCTTCGTCATCCCGGAGCTGCGCCTCGACAGCACCTTCAGCCAGAGCGCGGCCGGCGTGCTGGGCAGCACCATGGACGGGGAGGACGAGGACGACGAGGAGGACGATGAGGACGAGGAGGATGAGGAGGAGGAGGAGGAGGACAGTGACGAGCAGTACCTGGAGAGGAGCGAGGTGAAGCGCAGCAGCATGATCGAAACGTCGGGCGGCCAGGCCGGGTACACGCTGAGCGTGCAGGGCTCCCTGCGGCGCCGCACCCACAGCGAGGGCAGCCTGCTGCAGGAGGCCAAGGGGCACTGCTTCACCTCCGACACCACCCTCAACTGCTCCGACAGCCAGGGCTCCACGGCCCGCTGGGCACTGCCCTCCCCCAGGACCCTCAAGAAAGAGCTCGTCAAGAACGGCGGCTCCATCCACCAACTCACGCTGCTGTTTTCGGGCCAAAGGAAGGTATGTGAGCTGCTCCATGTGGCTGTGGGGGACACACTCCTGGGATGGAGGTATCCTGGCATGTGGCCCATCACTCTGTGGCCACCCTGAGGGGTCAGGAAGGGCCCTGCCACTCTCAGGGCTCTGGGAGATGGGGGATTTCACCCCGGGGATGTCACCCAGAGCCAGTGTCCTGGGGCTGTGGGTGGCATCTCCCACTGGTGTGTCCAGGGTCCCTTGTCCTGGGAAGCCACTCCCACTGAGACTGGTGGAGGCAGAGGTGCACTTGGGTGCCTGTGCTTGCAAAGAGCTGCTCACAGCAGCAGTGAGGACAGGGAAAAGCTGGGCTCCAGAGAGCCTCTGGTGACAAAAGTGTTCCTCAGTGTGCAGGGGATGGCAGGAGCAGTGTGGGTCTCTGCCCCACCAGCCCCTTGCATGGCTTTGAGGAGCCCATCTCAGAAAATAGTTGTGGTCACAGTGATGTCTGACCCCACCATGCAGGAGGAGCAGCTGAGGCTGTGCTGAGGGAGCTCTAGACTGGTCTGGGATGCTCCCTGTGCCCCCTAGAGCAGAGCTGGTGTGGGCTCAGCAGGGCAGAGCAGGGTGTGGGGCTGGTGCCCAGCTCAGGATCTCATTGCCCAACTCAGGACCATGTCACACCCCATGATGGGGTTAAACTCAGGGTGTTCTTAACCCTCTTCCTGCAAAGCTCTTGCTGCATGAGAAGCCACCTCTGATGCTGTTTCCTGGAGCACTTTTTGTGCTCAGAGTCCCCTTCCAGCTGGTGAGAGCCCTTCCCAGGCTGACAGAGCACTCATATGGTGCTGCTGTGCTTGAAGGTAGCCCAAGCCCTCTTGGAGGCTGATGCCAACAACTGTGGGCTGGGGGGTTCAAACCCATCCCCTTCTCCCCCCCGATCAAGAAAGGCCACCTTTGTGTCAGGGACACCCTCACTGCCTGTCGCAGACGCAGAGGGAGGTGGTGGCAGTGTCAGTGCTGACCGTGTCCCGTTGGTGCTGCTGTGACAGTCCCTGGAAGGAGGGCTCACAGTGCCCCTGTGTGTGCAGCCCCGGGCCTGCAGCTCTGCCGCTGCTCCAGCGCTCCCGGGGCCGGGTGGGCTGTGTGACACTGCCGGGGGACAATGAAAATGGACCCCACTCCTGCCCCGGGGGCTCCAGCTGCACTTCTTGGGCTGATCCGGGTGGATAAACGGAGCTCCTCCAGGACTGAACTGCTCTGGTGCAGATGAGACTGGGATTTTTGGAGCAGGGAGCCCACGCTGGTGGTGAGGGCAGTGTGGTGGCTGCACCTCCTGGAGCTCCTGCTTCCAGCCCTGCAGCAGCTCGGGCTGCCTGGAGCCTTAAGCCACTGCCCATGTGCCCTCCTGGGGCACCCCTGCCTGCTCCCACTGCCTGATCCCTCCGTCTGATCCCATGGGCTACCTGCTCCCATCACCTGCTCTGGCTGCTTGCAGAGGGTCCACAGTGGTCAGGGGAGCTGGGCATGGTCCTGGGCCACCACATGCATGGGATTTTGGGCCACTGCCACCCTCCTGCCTACACTTTGAAGCGACTTTTGTTGGGCTGTGCCTTTGAATAGCCTGATGAAACCTCCGAGGTTCGCGAAGCAGGACACTGGTGTACGATTCCCGTATGGATCCCCGCTCAGCTGCCAAGCACTTTGTGCCAGGGCCACCGCATCCATCAGGGCTCGTGGTTGTTTTCCCGCCTGGGAGCGTTTCAGGGGGGCTCGTTTGGTGTCCCCTTTTAATGCCGCGGTGCCCGCTGTGCCTCCCCGCTCCGCTGCTCCCCGCGGCCGGGCTGGGAGGGGGTTGTTTTGGGAGGGCATTGTGGCCGGGAGCGCTGGGACTCCCCGGGCGAGCTCCGCCGCTGCCTTTTGTCCCCGAGGCTGTGCGGACAATGGCAGGAAGCGGCCCCGGCTGCGAGTGGCCCCGGCCAGCCCTGGCCGATGTGCCCGGGGAAGGTGCTCGGCGAGGGCCGCATTGTTCGGGGCCGATAAACTCCGGAAACCCGGGCGCAGAATGGAAGGAAGTGTCAGAAGCCCCGGGCCCGGCGCTGCGGGGCTCTGCAGAGGGTTCCCACGGCCCGGCCGCCGGGAGATGATCCTGGAAAGCGCCTGGCAGCCCCCGGGAGCGCGGGGATGAGCTGGGTGTGGGGTGGGGCTGGATACAGGGCCGGCTGTGAGCATCTTCCAGTCTCGTTCTGTAATGGAACGATTGCTAAAGCCCCCGAGCTGTGATGATCCCAGGGCTCAACCCCCAGCTCCAGGCTCTGTGACTGCGCTGGTGCTGCCCTGAGCTTGTGGCACATCCCAGGTCCCCTTGGTTTGCCCAGGCTGCCCTAGAGTGGTGGTCAGGGAGTGGAGCCCTCTGGCTGCTCCTCGACCTCAAAAACAGCAATGATATGATTCAATTATGGCTGAACTGTTCTGATTTCTTCCTGCTTGGGGACTTCGGGGGAGCTCTTGATTGGTTTTGGATGCTCAGCTTGGTTCTGGGGGGAGCTCTGTGGGCTGTGGAGGGATCCCTGTGCCCACTCAAGATAGCAGGAATAGGAGCATCAGGAGTGGGGATGTGGGTGTCCTCCCCACAGGAGGTACCACTGTCAGCATCTTGAACCTGGAGGGTACCTGGGCCACCAGCCGTGGCATCTCCTCGGGTGCTCCAGGAACACCGTGGACTGAAGGTGGCACAGGAGGGGTGGGGGCAGGCAGGTTCCCATGCCAGAGCAGAGAGGAGCTGGTCCTGTTGCATTGCCATGGAAAGGAGCCCTGTGGATGCCATGGGTCTGGAACGTGTGGCTGCGGGGACCACGGGGGATGCTGGCCCTGCTGGCTGGTGACACAGAGTGACACTGTGGGTAGTGCTGGTGTGATGACACAGTTTCTCTGTTCCCCCCCAGCTGAGTGGAGCCGACCCCGAGTGCAGCTGTGATGAAGGGGACGAGACCTCCCGCAAGAAACGGAGCAGGAGCCTGTAAGTGTCACACTGGGGTGGTGTCAGGGTATACCAGGGCTGTTTGTGGGGTCAGACACCTCTTCTGAGCCTTGCTGGTCCCTGCAGCCTTTAGGGTCCCCCTGTCTTGTTCCCCCAAACTTTTCTGGACAAAAAGGAGCTCACTTCAGACAGGGAGTGGTTTTCAGGGAGGATGGTTGGTGGGGTGTTTGGAACATTGCACAGTCCATGTGGGAGCACCCCCCATTCGCAGGGCTCTGACGGGGGAAGACACCGGCTCTTGCTGGTGGCCTGGGGGAAAACAGCATCCCGGGTTCAGGGAGAGGACATGCAAATGGTGAAATCTGAGCTGGGGGCCTCCTTCCCGCTGGCCCCGTGCCGGGAGGAGGAATGGGGAGGTGGAGTGGGGGGGTTTCCCACTGTGGGTCAGGCTGCAAACCTTGCGGCACATCGCGGCCAGCGTGGTGGGAGCGGCGAGCACGGGGACCACTGAGGCACGCTGGCAGCCCCTCCACCTCTCCTGGTAAGGCTTTGGGCTGCCAGAAAGTGGCTCTGGGCAAGGACGAGGCAGCCGTGGCCTTTGCTTCCCGTGAGCACAGCTGCAGCCGAGGGGGGAGGCTGAGTGAGGATGTTTGGGAACGCGCCGCCTCTGGTTTTGGGCTCCAGATCGGGGTGTCACGGCCACAGGGGCCCCTCGGTGGGTCCTGTGCCCTGGGACACGCGTTTGCGGGCAGGTGGAGGAGCTGCACGTGGTGTGAGTGGCTCAGGGGGTGCGAGGGGGTCGAGCACAGGGGCCGTGCACGCAGCTCGACGCCCGGGCCGGCTGTGCCTCCCGCCAGCGAGCGGCACTGTTGTCCCGCGTGTCCCTCGCCGCAGCCGCCTATTTTTAGCCCCTTTTATTATTCCCCCCCCCAGTACTGGAAATTAAACCGAATCCCTGCGGCAGGGCCGTCCCCCTGTCCGCGTGTCCCTGCAGCGCCGGGGGAATGGGGCTGGCGGGGGGAGGCTCAGCCCCCCCGGCTTAGCGGGGTCAGGGGCGGTTGCACGGAGGGTTTTCTCCTCACCTTGAGCCGGCAGTGGATGCTCTGGGGAGCCTCTTGCCATCGCACAGCCGGCTATTGGCTGTGCCAGCCGCCCGAGGGGGTATTTATGGTGCCACTGCCGGGGCTCGGCACTCCCCTCCCCTCCCGGCCCCGGCAGCGCTGCCGGCCCCATGTACCACGCCATGGTGGACTTTTCCGAGAAATACCTGGAAAGGTAGGACTGCAGCATCCCGCGAGGAAGGGTGGTGTGCTGTGCGGGGCATGGTTTGCAGCAGGGCAGGGTGATGCATGACCTTGTGGTCGTGTTCGGGTGCAGGGGCAGGTCACTTTATGGAGGCAACTCCAGGGTGAAACCAGCAACTTTTTATGGAATTATTTTTACTGGGGCATTTATCCTGCAGTCAGGATGCAGCCGTGGGCTGTGTGTGTCCCAGCCTGGGTTGGTGCCACTTGCTCTTTATTTGCAAGAGGAGCAGCACGTGTAAGTCAGGGAACTTCCTTAGGAGGTGCTCGCTGGAAAATCCACCCACGAGCCACGATCACCTGCGAGCCCCAAAGCCCGGTGTGTGGCCAGCTGGCGCTGTGCCCAGGGCTCTGCGGGTGGAGGTGACCCACGTGTGCCACACACACAAGGGCTGTTCAGTGCTCTGCCAGCCCTGCCGGGCGCCGAGCTGCTGCCCTGCTAAACTGGGAACACTGCTAAAATTGTTGCTGGAGGGTGTGTGGGACGGCTTGTCCCGGTGTGGTGGCTGGTCCTGGGCTGCCGGCAGTGCTGGCAGCGCGGTAATGGGAGGCAGATGGTGTTTGGAGCGTGAGGCTCTGTGTTTGGATCCGCTTTTCCCACGTTAGTGCTGAGCTGGTGCCTGGCAGCTGGCAGCAGTGGGGTGTGTGTCCTGCTGGAACCACAGCCCTGGTGGTGTGCAGGCAGCAAAACTGCACGTGTCCCTCCCGAGGGCGTGGATGGCACCGGGGTTTGGGGGAGTTATTGCCCTCTACAATCCTTCCGTGGCTCAGGGTGCTCAGCACTTGAGGGACCGATCTCTGTGGTTGCTGCAGCTCTTTTTTTTCCCTGTGGATCACTGTATTTTACCCTCCCAGGACCGGAGAGAGCTGTGGGTCTGGAGAGTATCACTTGGTGTCTGGGTTGCACCCTTGTGTTGAATCCCTCCTGTGCCTCTCACGTCCCTCACCCTGGGATGGCCTGGCCAGGCAGAGGTGGCTCCTCTTGAACATCCTTGCACACCCACTGCTGTGCAACCCGTGGGAGGTGGCAGGGGTGGCCTGGCCATGCCACCCCGGGGCCCCATCCACCCTGGTGGCCTTGGTGGTGCAGGATGAGCATCCCAGGCCACCCTGGGTGTCCCTGCCCCTGTGCCGGGGTGTCGTGCGCGGGCTGTACCACGAGGGGACAGCACGGTCCGCGCGTCCTCCCCGCCACCTCCTGCACCTCCCGTCCCCTGCCTTGGCCCGGGCAGCCCTCGCAGGGCCGGGCTGGGTTGAGGGGGTCTCATTTTCCCATGGCACTTGCCAAAAATCTTTGCCCTGCTTTGTGCAGTTTCCCGGGGGCACCCCGAGCCCCGTGCCCGGGTGCACATCAGTCCGTCCGTCCGGGGACAGCGGAGCGGGGACCTGAGCAGGGCCAGCGTGGGGTGTCTTTGCCCCAACGCCCCTCGGTGCCATTCGCTGCCAGTCCCAACCGCCCCGTCCCGGGCCGGCACCGGAGACGTGAGCACCAGTGGGTGCCCAGCCCTGTCCACGCAGGGGAGACACAGGGCAGCGCTGCTGTCCCCGCTCTGCTCCTCATCCCGCTCCGCCCCATCGCCGGCCCCGCTGCCTTCCCGGGATTCCTGCGCTCTATAAATAGCCCTCGTAAATCCTCGCCGCGATTATTTTTCCCCCGCCGTCTCTTGAAAAGGCCCCACTATCCGCCCTCCTCGGCGCTGATTTTTTTTTCCACCTTTCCTCAAGTTTCCCCAGCAACGGCAGAGCCGCCCGGAGCAGCGGCGGGGCCGGCACGGCCCCCGCTCCCCCCCGCCCCACGCCGCATTTAAAGCCGCGGGGCAGAGCCCTCCCCTTTCCGCGCTGGCGATCGCGGCTCCGCGCGGGGGCTGCCCCTCCAGACATGCCCTTCTTCCGAGACCTCTCCAAGCCCCAGCCGCTCGAGTTCCACGCCGAGATGCTGCTGGCGGTGCAGAGACCCCACAACGGCAGCCTGCAGCGCCGGCACACCATGAAGGAGTAGGTGGAGGGCGCCGGGAGAGCGGGCAGAGGCTGCCGGAGGGTCCCCGCTGGGGTGCTGGGTGTCCCACCTTCCCCCCGACCCCTCGGCCGCCTGCTAAGAGTTGCTCTTCTCTCTAGAGCCAAGGACATGAAGAACCGGCTGGGGATTTTTCGGCGGAGGAACGAGTCCCCCGGAGCCAACCCCTCCGGCAAGCTGGACAAAGTGCTCAAATCCCTCAAGTAGGTGCTGCGAGAGGGGGGAGTCGGGGGTCGTGGGGCTTGGAGAACATAGGTATAGGGGATCAGGGGCTGTGGGGATCAGAGACCATGGGCATCAGGGATCAGGGGCCGTGGGGATCAGGAGTTGTGGGAATCGGAGACCATGGGGATCAGGGATCAGCTGCCATGGGGACTGGGAGCCATGGGGATGGGGCTTTGTGGGGATCAGGGGCCATGGGGATTGGGGCCATAGGGGCTTGGGGACAAGCTGCAGTTAGGAGCTCCTCACCTCCTGGCAGGCTGGGTTCACCCCATTTGGGGAAGCTGTGGACAAACAGTTTTTGTATCTGGAGGAGCATTAAAAGTACTTTTTGGCTGAAAATGCCCCCAGGTGGGTGGGAGGTGCTGCCCGGGCAGTGGTACAGCAGCAGCTTGTGTTGGAAATGTACCTGGTGGCAGCAATCTCCCAGTGCCTGTACATGGAACTTTAACCAGCTGGAGGATGGTTTGAAAAACCACTTTGCTCTGGAGATGCTCCAGCAGCTGGAGACGAGCCCTCCCTACTCTTGCTCCTGGCAGCTTCTCCGGCTGCTTGAACAGGCAGCTGAAATCCCACTTTCCTGCAGCTCCTGGGCATCACCCGCAACTTTTCCAGCTCTTGCTCAGACACCCCAAGTGGCACAGCTGCCTGCACAGACCTCCTTGTGTCTGATTTTCTTCCTGCCAGTCTAAAGGCAGGGGTTTCTGTCTGGCAGAGCTGCTGTGGTGCTGCCCGGTGCAGAGCCCTGGCGGTGCCAGTGCCGATGTGGGAGCTGGGGCCAGCCCCACTGGGGCACACAGCATGGCTTTGTGCACTGGAAACGTTGAGCAGGAGGCTGATTTGGGAGCTAGGAGCAGCCCTGCTGGGCACACAGCCTGGTTTTAGCCACTGGAAAGGTTTAGCAGGCAGTGAGAGTGGCTCTCGCTGCTTTGCTTTGCCAACGCGCCGTCCCTCTCCTGCAGGCCCACTCCTGAGGAAGCACTCAAGTGGGGAGACTCCCTGGAGAAGCTGCTGCTGCACAAATGTAAGTGTATGTCCACCTCTTCCACTTGTGTTTACTGCCAGAGGAATATCCAGACACGTGCATGGATAAAGCTGGGATTTCCTCTGTTAATCCTTTCCGGTGTTTGGGGAGAGACCATGAAGAGAAATCAGGCTGTCCCTTGTCTGCACCCCTTCTGCTCCTGCCTGGCCCGGGGAGGGAATTGGTGACAGGGGCCAAGGGGAACAGGTCAGGGCTGCAGCCCCTCAATTTGGGGAGGAAGTGATCCATGTCTGTGCAGTGGGACTGTGGAACAGGAGCTGCTTTAGACATCCCCTTCTCACGTGTCACAGCTGGGGCACCCCAAATCATGGTCATGTGCTGCTCCCAGCCCATAGGGATGGCCAGGGGGTCCTGTCCCCATTGCTGTCCCCACTCCAGCCCAGCCTCCCTCTTGGCTCTCCGTGCATGCTGGGGATGTGGATTCAGTGCACGGATGGGTTGTGTTGCTGTGCTGGCCTGGCAAAGCCATCGCTGCCTGTTTGCACAAGGGGGTTTTTAGGGCACAGCGTGGGGAGGTGGTTTGGGCTGCAGCATTGCAGGGTTGCTGGGCTGAGGGTCTTGTGGGGCCATTCCCTGCCTGTGAGCCGTGAGTAGAGACGTGTCCCTGTCCCCACAGACGGGCTCGCTGCCTTCAGGGCCTTCCTGCGCACCGAGTTCAGCGAGGAGAACCTGGAGTTCTGGCTGGCCTGTGAGGAGTTCAAGAAGATCAAATCCCAGTCCAAGATGGTCTCCAAGGCCAAGAAGATCTTTGCCGAGTACATCGCCATCCAGTCCTGCAAGGAGGTGAGTGCTGGCTCCCGCGCACAGGGCTGCTCCAGGGCTGCTCTCCCTGCCTGGGAGCTGCTCATCAGCCCTGGTCTCTCTGCCCACAGGTCAACCTGGACTCCTACACCCGGGAGCACACCAAGGAGAACCTGCAGAACATCACCCGCAGCTGCTTCGACCTGGCGCAGAAGAGGATTTACGGGCTCATGGAGAAGGACTCGTACCCCCGCTTCCTGCGCTCTGACTTGTACCTGGACATAATTAACCAGAAGAAAGCCAGCTCCCCGCTGTAGACCCAAGGACTGTCTCGGGGCAGGCTGGGAGCTGTGTGTTTACATGGAATTGGGCAGTGGAGGCCTTCCTGGGAGCCGGTGGGAGCGTGATTTCCTGCTGCCGCTCGTGCCCCCAAGCCATAATTCCTGCAGCGACGGACGTGGGGCAGCTGAAGGCACCGAGCCTGGGGCCAGGGGGACCGACACACCAAGCAGTCTGGTACTGCTCCATCGTGGGTACGACGCCTTCGGGGTGACTCCGGCGTGGATTTTGGCATGGAGGGGAGCTCCCCCAAGGCTACTGGGAAGCAGTGCCCCGGCTGGGAGCGGTCCTGGAGGGCGGCGAGGGACCCCGAACTGCCGAGGAGGAGTTTTGAGCAGGGCTCCAGCAAGGGGACGACAGCACCGCCACGACCACCCCATCCCCCGGATCAAAGCCTGGTGACCCGGCCCAGCCCCAGGGTGCTGCTGTGCTTCCCCGTGCCGCGGTGCCCCCCGGCTGCCCCGGCGCCTCCTCGAGCAGCGAGAGCGCTGGGGGTGTGCAAACCACCCCCTCCCGCCCCCACCCCGGTTTATTTATTGACCTCCTCTAGCTGGACGTTCCTGTGTGACAGGAAACCCCCCTGTCCCTTCCCGTTCCCGGATGACAAGTGCAATATTCGTGTGTGTCGCGGCCGAGTTCTCCGGCGGAGTGGATGCCTTTTTTTTTTTCTTTTTTTTTTTTTTTTTTTTTTTTTGGGTGTGTACATTTTGTAAGTAGCAGGTTTTACCTGACAGACCATTCCCTGGCAGCAGGCCGCTGGGGGAGCCTGGTGTATATATCATGCCCTGACGATGGAGGGTTTGGTGATGGAGAAAAGCAGACGCCTCTCCTGACTCTGGATAACAATACTGTGTTTTGGGAAGCAGGGGGGGTTCCTGCTGGCCCTGGCAGAGCGGGGTGGACTGCCTGCCTCCCAGTTTACAGTGCAAAAGCATCTCTGCAGCTAGAAAAAAAAAATTAAAAATACATTGTCATGGTCATAGGTAAATAAAAGGAGAATATAATTTCTTGTAGCTGCTTTTTCTTTGTGGCATGTTTGTCAGCACTGGTGGAGCCCTCGCTTCAACCAGGAGCCTAAACTCCTATTACTGCATGGCTAAAGAAGGGAATTCTTTAAAAAGAATGGTTCCATGAATTTCTGAGCTGTTTTTTTTATGATGGACCAGCTGCCAGATGCTCCTGAGGCCAGGCCTGGGTGTAGGAACAGAGTTTTGCCCAAAATGAGACTGTTCCCAAGGGCTGTGGTCGCTATTTGAACACGGCAGGGCAGGAACCTCTGACCACGGGAATGCCCAGACGCACAAGTGACCTCCTGTAGCTCTGGGTCCCCCTGGGGACACACCAAAAGCAGCAACAAAAAGCCCAGCAGTGCTTTTCCAGGTCTGTGCATGGCTTGGCAGGGCTGCTCCTCCCCAGCAAGGGCAGCAGCCCAGCAGCTCTGGTGTGGGATGCAAATGGTTTTTAAAGGCTGTCCCTGGTGTGTTTGGTAGAACACCAATGTCCTGTACCACTCACCTGCTTGTGATCACTCAGGAATGTGCTTCTGGTGCCACAGGGCTGTGCTGAGCTGTGGGGTGGCTGCCCAGAGGTGCTGCTGGAGATGCCCGGGCTGCCCCAGCAATGCCACCTGGGTATCAGCTCTGCCCAGCAGGTACCATCTCTTCTGGGGAACTGTCTGTGTTTCCCCCCTTTAAACAGTCAGCAGCTGATGGTCAGGTGGGGGATCTGAGGCAGTGCTGAGGCTTTGGCTGGAGGCAGCAGGGTTGGTGGGATGCCTGGGTGGCTCTCCTGGAGTTGCTTTTGGCACCCCAGGCTCGAGTCCAGTGTGACCCAATCACTGAGCCTGGAGCTGCTGAGACCCAGAGGGTGGGTGCACCCTCCCAGCTGCCTCCTGCAAGCCAGACCCTCCTCTTTCTCCTGGCATTGCTGAGAGCCTTCATCTCCTCTCCATCCCAGCTCCGAGGGTTTCCCTTCAGATGTGGAGTCATCACAGATTTTCTTTCTCAATCTCCCATGTTCCCCTGATCTCCCTTCACTCCATCCCAAGCCATCAGTGTTAGGAAACTTGCAGAGTTCCTTTGTTGGTCCCCCACTCCATGTCCCCAGGCTCCCAGGGGCAGCCACAGGGGGACTGGGCTCAGGGGGCTCTGGGGGGACTGGGCAGCTCAGTACCTGCCACTGCCTTCCCTCTGCCCTGAGTGCTGAGTCCTGTGGTGCTGGTGATTCCCAGGAGCATCCCAACCCCAAAACCACGCTGTGTTTCGAGCCTACAACCTGCCTTGCCCATGGGAATTATCCCAGCCCAGGCAGGCAGGGCTGGAGCTGCCCTGGGACATTTGGGGCAGGAATCTGGCGCTCGACTTTGATCCCTGCAGGGGACAGAGGCACCGGTGTGTGTGAGAGGAGGAGCCCTGGGGACATGGGGTGACTCCCTGGAGCAGATGGAAATAGCCCTGGGTGAGTGGCAGGAGGTGGGTTATTGGTGTAAGAGAATTTATTGCCGACCTGCCGGGGTGATGAATCACTGGGCAAACACCATCCCCATCCCCACGTGCGGGGAGCCACGCGATTCCAGGGGAAAGGCAGGGCTGGGCTGAGAGCTGCAAATGCCACGTGCTCGTCCCACGTTTTCCTGGGATGGCCAGTGCCCTGTGCAGCAGGACAGGTCTCATCATGGACCTCGTGGTGACACCGAAGCACAGCTTTGTCCCCTCTGTGCTGCAGCAGAGGAGCTGTGCCAGCTGCTCCAAGACTTTGGGCCTCAGAGCGAAGGGTGTGGGGAATGTGGAGCAACTGGATGGGAACTGGATGGGGGAAGAGAGTTCATGGAGGGAGTTTGTTCTGAGGGGCACTGGCTGGGATGGAGATGCAGCCCCACTGCCTGAGCAGCAACTGGTGCAATTAGTGCAGGGGATTAGGGGACAGGAAGCTGCTACAGGGACACTTGAGTTTACAACACAAACAGAAGGAGGACAGAAATGTCCTTATTTAGCACAAAACAAGATGTCCAGGCCAAAATCCAATCATGCAGAGAGAAGAAAATATTGACTTGTCAATGCCAGTGCCACAAGCCTGAGCAATGGAAATGGGAATCAGGTATTCCTAATTCCTGGTATTCCTAATTCCTGGTATTCCTAACTCCTAACTCGAGGCACAACCTCCACCCAAGCAGAACTGCTGACAGCTGGAGGGATATTCCCAGGGCAGCAATGCTGAAATCATGGGGGGGTCACCTGGTTGGGGATGACCCTGGGGATGGAGAAGTGGTCATTACCTGCAGCCAAAGCCACCCAAGCCATGAAGGTGGTGGGTGGCACCAAGGTGACAGTGGCAGGGTGACAGCCCACCCTGGGCTCATCCCAAGGCTCAGGGGTGTGCAGGCAGCTGCCTCTGGGCCATTGCTGCCATTTCCCAGTGTGGCCAAAGGCAATTTCCCAATGTGGAAACCAGTGCCTTCCAAAATAGGGGGCTCTTATCTCAGCAGATAAAAAGGATTTATCTTGGGGCTAAAAATGAGCGGTTGCTGAGTTGCAAGTAGTCACAACTCGCTGTGTTTGTTGTGTGCAAACAGGGCAGAGTCCACCCCAGCACGGGTCATTCCTGGGACAAAGCTCACCCAGTTCAAGGCAAAGCACCCCAGGGAGAGGATTTGCGTGGGAAAATGGGACTAATCACCAGAAAGGGCTGAATGCCTTGATAGGTTCAAAAAAATGACCTGATCCTGTATGTGAAAAAGGTTAAGACTCCTGGGAAAAACATCCTGAGGTTTTAACATCCCGGTTTCCTCACACCCTCAGGGATGAGGAGGTTGGGATGAACCAAAAGCCCTTGGGGAGGCTGGTAAAATTCTTACCTTTCCCAGGAGATGGTTTTGACCCTTCAGGTGTCCCTCAGCTCAGTATTTCATCAGCTTCCTAATGCAGCAGCCAGAGGGGGGTGCAGGGGTCACCTGTGACTTGCAAGAGCAAATGAAGTTCTGAAAATAGCAGCTACATGAAAATCCAGCTCAAGCTGTTGAGAACCTCTTGGGGGAAGATTTATTGGGAGAAGGCAATGAAGAGCATGGGCATCCCATGCTGGGGTTGTGCTGTGAGGCCTGGCTGGGCAGGTGAGCGTTTGCAGAATCTGCATGGCTTCATTGCAGAGCTGGCTGGAAGCCATGACCATAAAGAAATAAAAAGGCAAACTTTTTATGTCTGCAGAAATGGAATTTTACCTTTTTGACAGGTGTGCACTGTGCCCTGAGACACCTCAGCAGTGCAGAGTCTTTCCTGGGCTTTTCCAAGGCACCCATCCTGGAGTATGAACTTACCCAAATAAACATAACTGTCTGCTGAGCAAAATAATTCCCTGGACCCCTGACTAGACAAATATTCTCAGAATAGCAACAAGGCTACTTTATAGCCATAGACTAAACATAGCTCGGCAGGCAGATACTGAAACTGCCGACACAAGAATTCCCCTGCTCGGGGAAACAGCTGACCCGAGAGTTCCTTCACCCCTCTCAGAGCCACCAAGGCTTATCAGGAGCACTCTGAGCTCTCATTTGGGTGGCTGAGATGCTCAGGAGCTGCCTGGAGACCGGCCACAGGAACACCCAGTCGTCTGCCCGGCGGGGATGGAGGTCGGCGTTGGTCGGGTTTGTTTGGGGACTTTGGCTTCCCCCGGGTTTGATAAGGACCTGAGGGTGCAGAGATGGGTTTGAGGACTCCTGTCCTTCCAGATGGTGACCCTGGTGACCCTCAGAAGAGCTGGATGGGGCAGGTGAGGGGGATACCCAGCTCGGCAGTGCCAAGGGTTGTCATCCTGCCCAGGGGAACTCCAGAAGGTGATTCTCTCCTGGTACATCCTTGGATTGAGGCTGTGAGGACAAGTGCCACCAACCTCTGCACTGCCATCAGCAATGTCACTCCTGAACAACCAGCAAAGACAGAGAAACTAAAACGCTCCTGAAGTAAAAATAAACCCAGTCAGACTCAGAGGCCGCCTGTCAAGGACATAAAACCAGCTCGGCTGGGCCGGGGCCAGGACAGGAAGCGCAGGAGTCCCCTGGGTGCTGCTCACTCACTCGGGAAGCATTGTTATTGCTCATTTTCTGATTCCTCTCCACATTAGGTCATTTTTACTCAGCTCCTCCAGCTCACACGTTCCCCGGAGCCGGGGAAGGAAGGAGCAATAATGCCGACTGCGGGCCAGCCCCGGGGCCGGGGGGAGCTGGACAAAAGACACTGAAAAATCCCGTCCTTTGTTGCTGAGCAGCCCTGCAGGGCTGGGACACAGGGAGGGGATGAGGGGGAGCTGACTCCGCAGAGTGACCCACTGGCAGCAACCCCCACCCCCCCGGATACTCCCGAGATGTGTAGGGATGGATTCTCACCTTGGAAAGATCCAGACCCCCCGTTTTCCTTGCCTTCATCCCTTGTCAGAGAGTAAGGAAGGGGAAGGTGGGGAAGAGGAAGAAGAGCCAAGCAAGGAGCAGGTGGGGGCTGCACACGGGGTGTTTGCACAGCAGCCATTTGCAAGTAATTTCTTGTCCCTTCCTGAACTAATGGGGCAATTATTTCAGGACACACGTGTTTCTCATGGAAAGTTCCACCCGGTCCGTGCGTCAGCTCATCTGTGGAGCAACCCTGTTCTCTCCAGTGTGATCACAGTGTTTCTAGACAAAGACAAGCGGGAGAAACCTCCTGGGACTGGGGACAGCAGTGACGGGTCACAGGGCACCAGGCAAACCTCCTGGCCCAGGGCAAATCAGCAGCTCGGGGCTCACGTGGCGAAAGCTGATCCTCAGAACAAACAGTGCTCTGCTCTTTGAGGTGCCTCCTGTGCTTGACACGGGATGTTTGTGCGTGATTTTGTGCCCTGTTCCCTCCAGCCAGCTCAAGAGAGGTCAGAGGGGGTCCTGCAGTGGTTGGTGAGGGTCTCATGGACCTTGGACACAGAACCTGTGCGGAGGGATGGAGAGGGATGGGGTCTAAACAGCATCCTGCAGCTTTGGGAAGGGCAGCTGGAA